ATTAATTACGTCTAAAGTCCCTTTAAGTTCGAAATAACTCATGGCAATTATAATTAATTATAATAAAAAAAAATTTCAAAGCAATTTCCACGGCTTTGAACCTGTATAAGTCAGCAATTAAAAGGAATTAGATTATTAGCGAGTTGAAATGCAGTAGGCCGGCAATAAAATCAAAAAAAGTGAAAAAAATATATTTTTAAATTTTTCTTTTTGATCTTTTAAAATTTGTGTGTATTAAAATCATAATTATTGACTCTCTCCCCACCATATTGCTTATTTGGATTCTGAAAACAATCATCAAAATTTCATTTATTCCAGGAACTAAATCTGCAAAAAGATTATTTTGTCTCTTCATAGATTACTGATAAACAATACAGCTTATATAAGAGACAGAAACCTTCTAAAATAAACAGAAAACTTCTAGAAAAAAGCAGAAAACTTCTAGAAAAGAAAACTTCTAGAATAAACAGAAAACTTCTAGAACAAACAGAAAACTTAACTAGAATATACAGAAAACTTATGAAATATACAGAAAACTCATGAAATATACAGAAAACTTCTAAACTAAACAGTAAAATTCTTGAATAAATAGTAAACTTCTCGATTAAACATAAAACTTCTAGAATAATAGGAAACTTCTAAAATAACAAGAAAACTTCTAGAATAATAGGAAACTTCTAAAATAACAAGAAAACTTCTAGAATATACAGAAAACTTCTAGAATAAACGGAAAACTTCTAGAAAACAAAAACAGAAAACTTCTAGAATAAACAGAAAACTTCTAGAATAAACAGAAAACTTCTAGAATGAACAGACATGACTTCTAGATTAAACAGACAACTTTCTCGCTCTTAAAAGGTCTAAAACAGACTGTGTGGGATTAAGTTTAGAATCATTCTGAAAATTATTTTGCTGTGACGAAAGAAGCTGATATACTTCGGGAGAACGCTCCCTACAATTCAAAGATATTAGAAAAATTATCCGGTATAAATATTGTGAACTTTTAAAAAACAAATTTCAGGGCTGAGACTTCTACAAGTGCCCCTAATTTTTTTTAACGAAAAGTATTGATATCACTTCGTAGAATAATTAGAACACTTCTATATTTAACATTAGGTTTTAAATAGAAAATAAACTACATAAATAGAGCCAACTTCTTTAACAGACATTTTTTGTATAACAGAATATCTTAAATTAAATAAATTATGTTCTACCCTGTTCTTATAATTCAAATCTCTTCAAAAATCCCAACCTTTAATTCTTTTCCTGATAAGAAGAAGTAAATAAAGTATATTTTTACCCTGTGTGATGATGATTTGAAACTTTTAAAAACTTTTAAACAGTTTAAATGGGGACATCTAGTTAATTACAGTGGCAACTTTTTAGCGGGGATATTTTTGTTCATCAACTTTTGTAGTTTTACCAATTTACATTCCAATACAAATATACGACTTCCAATATATCATGATATTTTTCCACAGTAATATAAATTATGGACGAACTAATGAGACCTGATAGATTTCAAAGTGTTGCTAGGCCTTTTCTTGTGTGTTTTTTAAAGATTTCAATGCTGTAAATGACATTTTTATAGATTAAATTTTTAAGGATCTGTCATAGCCCCCAAACCGATTCACCGACATTGGGTCAATGGACATAGGGTAAAACGACCTAGGGTAAAACGACTTAGGGTAAAACGACATAGGGTAAAACGACAAACGGTCAAAAACTCGACAAAGTGTAAAACGACAAAGGTTAAACGACTGAAAGTCGACAAGCGGGAAAAATTTCATTTTGATTATTTTTTGGTTAATTTTAACTATTTTTATGTAGTAGCCGCAGCGCTCGGCCCCCTAGCCTGTCCTAGCCTCAGCGCTCGGTCCAGAAGTTGTCTCAACCTGACCAACCCTGAAATAATACATATGCTACGTTTTATGGTCATTTGAAGTACTAGCCGCAGCGCACGGCCCCAGTGTGTCCTAGCCGCAGCACTCGGTCCAGAAATTGTCTTAACCTAACCTAACCCTGATTATGACCCTAAGTCGTTGGACCCTAGGTCGTTTGACCTTGGGTCGTTTGACACTTTGCCCGTGAACCCCCAAACCTACACAAAATTGGCAAGACTATCGCTTCTAGATGTGCCTTAGGATGTTTTTTTATTTTAAAAAATGCAAATTTGTAATTTTTTCTCTGAGTCCTGACCGTGTCGGTTTGATTTAAAAAGAATCGAATCAATTACATGCACTTAATTACATGCACTTAATTACATGTACTTAATTACATGCACTTAATTACATGCACTTAATTACATGCACTTAATTACATGCACTTAATTACATGCACTTAATTACATGCACTTCACTTAATTTCAAAGAAAAAGGTTCGAAGCCGTTTAATCATTTAATTATGCTTTGTTTGTGTTTTCATATTTACAATTCATTCTATATTTACAGTCAAATGAAAAATATAGTCACGTGATTTCTCTGAATTAAAAAAAGAAAGCGTTAAAAAATATCTGTTTGCTCTTAAATTATTTTGTAACGTATTTTTTCCATCATCGCTTAGCAAAAATATTTGTGTTAGAAAATACGTGTGGAAGGGGGGGGGAGGACTTTCTAATTCTTTTTATATACTGTCAATTCCCATAAATGTTTCATCCTGCATACAATCGGTTAAATCAAAGCAATTTCCACGGCTTTGAACCTGTATAAGTCAGCAATTAAAAGGAATTAGATTATTAGCGAGTTGAAATGCAGTAGGCCGGCAATAAAAACAAAATATATAATTCATAATTTTATTTTTCAAATTTAATCTTGTCGTCTTTTATCCTGTTCCCTGAAGAAACACTGCAAACTTGACAGAAAAAGAAAATAAAATTAAAACGGAATCTCGGATAGACTTTGGGACCTCGTAGCTCCTGTAGTTTTGATTTTCTACACAAGTACGAGAAAAGCCTACTTTTTCAGTTACATATTGGAAATTCAAAACATTTTTGTTCATCTCAATAACTCTGCAATTAACGAAGCTATGATTGAAAACTTATTATAGTTCAATCTTAAGCAGAGTTTACCTTAGTTTGCCGTGGAAACCTCATTTATATTGTGCTAAATTGTAAGCCTAAAAACAATAACAAAGAGGAAACATTGATTGAATTGATCAGTGGAAAGATCGTGGAGCCAGGACATGAAACAATTAAGGCATTGTCCATCAACAAAACCCAGTTTATATAAATCAATTTATTCTCTTGAAACACAGTCTTAGACATGAAAGGACGTCAAAGTTGAAAAGATAAAAATGCTGATTGTCCTAAAATACTTTGCAACCGATTTCATGATGATAAACTAAAAAAAAAATCCGATTGATACCAATCATAAATTCCACCCCCCCTTTCCCCCTCTAAGCACACTCTTTGCCGCCCCCCTTTTTGTAAGCATGAGTTAAATGAAGCTTTGTTCTCCAAGGTACCTGATCAATCAAGGCCAAAGTGACCCAACTTGCCTGCAGCAATCAGTAGTATTCAACTGTTATTAAAAATACATTTAAATACATCTTTTTAACTGTACACACTACACAGTCCCTTTCCCCCCCTCTCGTTCTCCACTGTAATAATGATTTAGAGGTGAAATAACAGTGATTACGTAAATACCGTTTATATACATCATTTCTGCCTCCAACTCAAGGGATCTTATTAAAACGGTCAAGAATGTGGGTGATCTTTCTTTTCTTTAGGAAGAGATAGTTAATTCAGATAGATAAATTACTGATAACTTAGATTTTCTATTCCATATCTTTGCAATCTGATGGTGTAAACCATTTGATTTTTCAATCTAGCAGAAATAATAATTAGATCAATAACATTAGGTTGCAAGTTTAAAAAAGATTTGACAATTAGAGTGGGAGTTCTTTAATTTCATCACGCGACGTTACAAAACGTTGTTGCAAAAAATCTAAATATTTTGAGAAAAAACATCATGTGTAAAATGTGTAAAATGTGTATCTCTTTTGAAAAATCCTGATGGAGATTTTGTTTGAGGGTATTGGTTTAATAGAGAGGTTTGAATAACACTCACTGAGTATAGTAGAAGCTACCCCCCCCCCCTCGCTTCTATTCCTCTAAAATAACAATAACCAAATTTCTTATCTTGCCCAGAGGGGATTCTTATTGAAATTCTTCTTCTTTTTGTCTCCAAATTGCATAAAATTTTGAAATGAAATTCGTTTGGATATCTTTGTATTTCCATATTTATTTATATACATATATCTTCCCAGTAAACTATCTATCTATCTATCTATTTATCTATCTATCTATCAATATATCTATCTATCTATCTATGATTCATCTATCTCTCTCTATATGGACCATTGTATTTCAAATACAGTTTTTCTTCTTATTTCTATTCCTAAAAGTCGTTTGAATATTTAAATTTTCTAAACAAATGTTGGATATCCATCCCCTTCCGGGCTTCTTTCGATATTATTTTAGTTTTGCATTTAAGTTGCAGATTTTTGTAGAATATGACACGGGTGTATATTTTTAAGCCCCCCCCCCCCTGGGGGAAATGAATTTTGAAGATCTGAAGAAATGTAAAATTTAACATCATGTTTGTTCATCATTTTTCATTTATTTATTTTCCCTTAAACCTACCAAAAATTTATTTAATTTCCCTTAAATCTACCAAAAATTTATTTAATTTCCCTTAAATCTACCAAAAATTTATTTAATTTCCCTTAAATCTACCAAAAATTTATTTAATTGCCCTTAAATCTACCAAAAATTTATTTAATTGCCCCTAAAAATCATTAACTTCTAGGGAAATTAAAAGATTTTTCAAAGAGGGGGGATGATTTTTCCAGAAAATATACACCCCTAGAGTATGTAAACGATTTAGAATTAAGAATCACATAAAACAATATATTTTTGGCTATCATACGTCCAAAGCAGGATAAATAATTGCACATTATGATTTTTTTAGATTTCTCTTTTCTTATTTTTTTTATTTCAGTATGATGTCACTCTGATTTGCCGGCCCTATATCCCTGAAAACAGTGAAACACAAATTAAAGGTAAAAATCATAATAATTCTTTTGATCAAAATCCCCCCACCATGAAAAAATCTTTGTTTGGGGGATGGTGTAGCAAATTTTTTCGAAGAAACTTTTTTTGAATTAGAATTTTTTATATTTGTAGTTTAGTTCGCACTGATTTCTCTTTTGAAGAAGTAAAAAAGAAGTATGTAGCCTTCATTTATTCAAAAATTTAACAATTTTTTTTAACTTGGGAAATAGATTACTTTTCAAACTGCAACTTAATACTTTTCAATTTTCATGACAACAAGGCTATACTAATGTCATGTTTGACTCGGATTCTCAAGACCTCAGAATTCTTTCTTTAAAGAATATCTAGTTATGTTGTATTACCATTAAAGGGACTGCGTAATCTCAAGTGACCCTCCATGCGCGCACAGATGGTCCCTATGCACAACAGTGCACTTAAATACTTTGTCTGATCAAGTATGAATTAGATATCAATGTTAATGATTTTTAAAACTGTTTATTTTCAATTGAGGTTTCTCTACAAAAGTGACTTGCACATTTCTACTGTAGAAAAACATATTATACATTTTTACACCTAGAAAAAAGACAATATCTTCCTCCCTATTGACCAGATAAAAGGTTCAAAGGTACCGTTGTGCATCCTTCATTGCCATCTTCGCGTGGAGGGGAGGATCACTTGAAATTCTACTTACAGTCCCTTTAACGGTAATGCAACATAACTAGATATTTCGTTTACATGCAGTTGAAATTAAAATAAACAGATTTTTGTTCGGTCGATTAGGATTCCAAAAGATTAGCCAAAATTGAAAATCATTCACATTCCCTTTACCCCCCCCCCTCCCCGCCTCCTCCACTTTCAAGGGTTAACAAACTACTGGCGACATATTATTCCTGACAGTATTGTGATTAATTGCTTAATTAGCTTGAAGAGAGGTAATAAAGTGTTCAATTTCAGAGGAGATATGATAATTAAGTATATACGAGGCGTAATTAATTAGATTCAATACAAAAATAAATTCATCTCAACGTCTCAGTTAGAAGGCAGCCTTCAATCTTTTCTCATTTATACTGGTAATTTCTCAGCAAACATCAATATATAGCTGATAAATGTCGTCTTTTGGGGAATTGTAATATACCCAACGCTGCCCTTTTTTCGCTAATGTGTTACTAAAATAAGCTGGTTTAAGAAATCTTAGAACATCATCTCGAAAATGACGCCATGACAATATTGAAAAAGACTTAGCCTAATAGCCCCCCCCCCCCAGCAGCAAAAGGGTTTAGTGAAAAGAAAGGAATTGAGTCTTTGTACGTCATAAACTCAAATTGTCTAATCCTTATATCTTTGCAACCCAATATCGAAAGCCTGAGATATTTCAAACAATAAATTCTCTTAAATTAAATAAGTTTGAAATAAAAATAAAGCATGTTTACGCCATCAGGCTGCTAAGATATGGGGATTAGAAAATGTTGGGAAAATGCTCAATTCCTTTGCCTAAAAAATCAGTGAAATCCTAAAAGAAACATAAACAATAAGTTTTTTTTCATATATGAGACTGTTTAATGACGATCTAAAATCCTGGAATAAAGCAGTTCTGAGACACAATTTGTGGTTTGCTGTAAATATGATATTTGAATGGTATTTGTGGGCAACGTTGTCTAATGAGTATAAAATGTGTTTAGATAAGACCACAAATGAATGAATGACTGCTCTAACTATGGATGAACCTGGAGACCAAGGTTCAATGCCTCCAGATGAGTTATCTAAACCTGAAACCAAAGTTCCTAAACCCAGTGATGATACGAACCCGGAGAAATCCAACCCTGTACTAAATCAACCAGAATCAGCAGATTCGGCAAAATCAGCCAAATCACCTGAAGATTGGGAAGAATCAGCCAAATCTAATGAAGTAACTGAAATAACTGATGCAAACCATAAAGATGATGAAAATGAATCTGGAAAAGCATTTTCAGGTCAGTCACAAGGAATAAAATAAAAATAAATTTACCAACTATTGAATTGATAATTTTTTAAAAATTTGATTAAAAATAAATCTAACAATGGGTTTCAAATATTCCTGCAGATTTTACTTCTAGATAGCATGATGAGTTTTGTTTTAGCTCTAAAGTAAACAAGTCTTAACCCCAAACTCAAATTTTCCAATCCCTATATCTTAGCAGCGTGTAACTTGTTGTAAGCATTTAATATTTAAAATCTAAATTATTTGATCTAACAGAATTCAGAGTTTGAAATATCTAAGGTCTACGATATTGGGTTACAAAGATATTGGGATTAGAAAATCAGAGTTTGGGACGAAGACTCAATTCCTTTTATATTTTTTTATTTCCAAAATTTCTATTATTCTTCTAACAATTCTATTTTGGCGAACAATCCCATTTAATATTGTTTGTCCAGGAGAAATCTTGTATAATCCTGATGGAAGTGCGTATATACTAGAGGAGAGAGAACTGATAAACCAGGTTCCAAGACAGGAAGGATCCTTTATCCAGAGCTCAGGATCAAACCTAAGTCAGGTACGTACAGCATAGAACCTTCATAGAGTGACATGTCCGATTCACAATGTAACCTTAACCTCTGTATAATAATTAATAAATTGTGCTACAGAAGCAAGGTTTATGTCAATACAAACCATTTTTCAGGCTAGTATAACGACAATATCGTTCACATTATTGATCAGATAAAGGGTTTAAGGGTATTACTGGGAATCGGGCATGCCCCTGCTGAAATGGATGATCTGAATAAATCATATTTTAAATATAATTAATCATTTACTCCCCCCCCCCCCTTGTCAAAATGGCTAATTTAATAATAAGTTCTAAATTCTAAAGTCATAATTATTTATCATAAAATACTTGTCTTTAATTAAATATAAATGTGTCTGTAATATGTCAGCAATTCATTGATTAATAATAATGTATTGCGCATTGTCAATGTTTTTGGTATTCATGTTTAATTTGAATTCATAATATTGGAACCAAACTTGTTTTAACATTTTATTTTTGTTTTCTTGTTTTCTTTTTGCTATAAACATTTTCTATTTTTTAGTTTTTTAAACTTTCATGGTTTTTGTTTTCGGTTATTCGATCTGTTGTAAATGATTTTGTATTTGGATTTGTTATAGTAATTGTAATTTTGTATCGGGTTTTTTTTTTTTTGGAGTTGCTTCATGTTTTGTTATTGTTTTTTTAATGATTTTTTTGCCATTGTTATTTTTGATTTTTTCTCTCTTTAGGTCGACTACCCTAGGATTGAACAGGCAGTGTATATTGCTAAAAGGCAGGCCTGGTATAGTGCGATGGGATCAGCTTATCTAAGGTACATTTCTTATACATAGTAAAAAAAATAAAGATAAGAAGCCAACACACGCGACATAAGAAAAGTTTAAGAATTTTGCATGTAATTGATTATCAATTACTTCTTAAAAGTTCCATAAACAATTTAACTTGTATATTTTGTAATTCGTATAGCTTTTCATGCTTTAGAAAAATTTACGCATTTCAAAATTATAGAATTTTCTAGCCATAAGTTTTAGAAATTTTTGAAAAAATCAGCCAATTTTTGGTTTGATAAAATGAAAAATATGCTCTTTGGCATTATGCATGTAGAGTTTTGATTTTTGATTTAGAATTAAAATTTTACCAAATAAGAACTGTTATTATGTAATTCTTACGTAGAGCTTTTCATTGTTAGGAAAAACTCATCTCAATTGCAAATAATGTGATATAATATAATCAGAGAAAAATTTATTTTTATTAAAGAACTTTTAAAATCTTTCCTTGGGATGTTTAGAAAGATGAAAATTTCCCTGTATGATAATTATAGGACTGCTTTATGGTTTGGGTGAATTATAATGATGTACTAATCCTATGGGTGTCAGTAATATTTTTTTTGCTTTTTTTTAAACGTCCCATAAACCTAAAAAAGTTTAATTTTTAATTAAAATTTTTGTTCTGGGTGATTGCTTTATATCGAGAAGAAATCTTTTAACATACTGATGTAAAGTAGGAAAGATTCTGCAAAAAAAAGTGGTCAAACCAAACAGTATTCTTTTTAAAGGTTTTTTGCAACCTTTTTTTAAAAAAACTCATTATCAAATATTCTACAATTTTAATATTTCTGTCATAAGTTTTACAGTTTTTAAAAAAAATCAGCCCAAAAATCGATTCAAATGTAATTTTAGTTTGATAAAATTAAAAATATGCTTTTAGGCAGTAAACATGTGCAATAGTGTAACACAAGGCCTTTGATTAAACATTTTGATTTTTCAATAATAAAATCAATTTACTAAATAAGAACAAAAAAAGACCAAAGCCTCCCCCCCCCCCCTAAGACGGATAGGGTTAAAGCCTTAATTTTTTTCAATATTTCATTTTGTTTTAAAATCCTGAAATATTTAATTAATTAATAAAAACAATCAAAAGTATATCTACAGCTGTCTATGTGAATATTTAACATAATAATATTTTGTATTGATAATACAACAGTGTAAAATATCAAAGTTAAGATTTAACATTTGTAACAATAGATTCATTTTCATTTATCATTATTCACCCCCCCCCCCCTTCTTTCATATTTATATGATAAAATTGTTGGCTTTTACAGGCCCCCATAGACTTTGTTCAAATTACCGTTTTAATTCTGAAAATGACTCTCAGAAAGTAAATGATAACATTTAGAAGAAATAAGATAACTTGAAATTACGTCTACAGTTCCTGAAAGGAATTGAGTCATTGCAGCAAATCCCAATTTTCTAATATCTATATCTGTACATTTAGCTAGATGATGGAAACCGTTGATATTTCAAATTTAGATTATTAGGTATAACAGAAGTCATAGTTTGAAATATCTAAGGTCTATAACATCGGGTTGTACAGATATAGGAATTAAAAAATCAGAGTTTGGGGCAAAGGCTCAATGACTTTGTAAATGTTTTTTAAATAGAAAGGAACTGAGTTTTTGGCACAAAACCCTTAGATATTTGATATAAATTTTTGTTATTTCAACTAACATAATTTATAGTTTGAAACGACATTGGTTTGAAAAGATTTAGAGATTAGAAAATCAGAGTTTGCGGCAAAGACTCAAATCCTTTCATACATCGATGCTCAAAGCTCAAATAATACATTATGATACAAATAATAATTTATGGATTAATAAAAAAGCTCTTTAAAGTATTTCTGATAAATTAGAATTACCGCCTTTTTTGCGAATATTTTCTCACTTTTTGATGCGTATACAAAGAAATATTATTAAACCTAATCATAGAAAAACGCGAAATGTGATTGAAAAAGTGATATACATATACATATACATATACATATACATATACATATACATATACATATACATATAAATATACATATACATATACATATACATATACATATACATATACATATACATATACATATACATATACATATACATATACATATATATATATATTCATATACATATATATATATATATATATATATATATACATATGCAAACTTGAAAATTATTTCAACCCAATATTTGGATTCAAGTCGAGTTTTTTGTAGCGTTTGTTTACAAACAAATATAATAAAGTGTACGCTTGGCCACCTAAACTGAGTTTATTGTGCACTACTGATTTTTGTGTATTCTGCGTACAAAATTCTCTTAATCGCCTTATACCTTACCTTGAATATATGTGAATATACAGGGTGTCCCACATCATATTAGACCAAGAACGGGTCTAAATTACGATTTTCGGGACTAATTAGAAAATTTCATTAGAACGAATCATTTTGAAAAATAAAATAAGGCTTGTATAAGAATTTTCTTGCGGAAAATGATAAGTTTTTCGAGTATTAAGGGTTTATTTTGGTGTTAAAGATTGGAGATAATCTAATATGATATGGGACGCTCTGTATGTTAGTGAATAATGTTTGTTTAGAATGTTGAAGGAGAAGGTCGGAGCTCCGGAGGTTCACTCCTTCAAGGTGTTTTCTATCCAGGAGCAGCTTATAAGGAGAACCAATTCTTCAGGTATAGATCTAAGAGATGATATCTATAAGCAGAGGGGAAAAGGGTTCGTACCAACGAGGTTATATTATATAGAGGGATGATGTATCCTAATCCTTTACTAATTGTACAGGCCATGTACTTCACTTCCAAAGGTCAATCTGTATATTACAGTACTCGGGGGTGATTTAAATGGAGAATTTGTTTTCCATGTAACAATTAAAATCCACTACTCCTTTATCGTGTACAGGATTACATTTTCACAAGAAGACGTACATTTACAGTCTTTTACAGAGCAATATTTCATCGTTAAGGAAAACTGAGTAAAATTAAAGATACGAAACCTCCCCATACACTTGTACTCCGAGAGCGCACTGCATATTTGATTTTTTTACTGTACTAGAAATTCAAGGCGCTTCGCGCCCTTCTTTCTAGTCTTAGCGCCCATCTCCTAAATTAATTGTGAACATGTTCTCTTTGTGTACATCGTAAAACAAAACAAAAATAATTCGCGGATTTTCACAAAAATTTCGCGGATTTTCAAAATTTTAAAAAATTTAATGACGATCGAATTTTGATGGAGACAAATATTTGAAATTTTGATGATTCATAAACCTTCCCTGGAGTCCTTAGATGTCCCACAAAAAATTTGGGCCCGATCGGTTCAGCCGTTTTGACGTTTATTGGATACAAACAAACAAACAGACAAACAAGCCAAATGTATATATAGATGAATAGGCCATAATCTCTTAATATTCGTTATTAGTAAACTATCTCAAGTGTACACTCAGGCCATTTCACACGGAGAGGTAGCTAAGATCCAGCCCCCCTGGTTTGTACATACAATTTACTCTAACGTAATAGAACAGCCTAGGAACTACTTGTATTGTAAATCTTTAAAAAAATTGTAATTAGGGCGTATAGAAGCGTTTTAACTCTAATACGTAACAATAAAATGTATGCAAATACTTTACTTTGTAAAAACTGTTTGTTTACAATCAGTTATTTTTTTTAGTCACACTTAGGCTTAACATGTGTTCTCACACATAGGCATGATACAGAACATGAGTGAATATTTTTGTTTAACAATGTATGTAAAAAGATTAACTCAAAAGCGACAAAATAGAAATAAAGCTGAGAAATAATTTAATCGTACTTTTTTATTTAGAGTCATAGTTGATTTTGCTTACCATTTTAAAGAAATGGAGTCCTTGAAACAAACTCGAATGTTTTAATCCCTGTATCTTTGTAACCTTATGGGTACACCTTTAATATTTCATACTTAGATTATTTGATCTAACAGAATTCATGGTTTAAAATGTCTAAGGTCTACGACATTGGTTTGCAAAGATATAAAAATTGGAATATTAGATTTTGTCGCAAAGACTCAATTCCTTTGCCTATTTTTACTTTTTGTCTTTATTGTAGAAGGAGAGAAAGAGGATGAAGGAAGAACCAATGAGAGACCAATCCTAATGTGTTTCCCATGCAAACTCTCATTCACCCTCTCCAGACCCTTCCTCAACCACTGTGAGCAGGAACACAGCGTTAACCTGACCCAGGAGGAGAAGGATATGTTTAAGAGAAGCTCCGGTATTCTCCAATCTGTAGGTTTGGATAAATCTCCACTTCTCTCCGTTCTTGAACCCCAAAGAGAAGTGAATGAACCCTATCCTCCGCTAATAGATCTGGAGAAAACTGTGGATGAAGATATTGACGAGAAACCTGTTCTGGTTCCCTACTTATCCAACCTACTGGAGACCCTGAAGATGAACGGACCTGGAGGAAATTCTGCTGATCCATCCTTCCTAGCAATGATGTCCGGTCTGAATCCGAACCTTCCACCAACCAATGCCAGTCAGCTCCAGGGTACAACCATAGGTCCTTGTCCCGACCACGTTACGGGAAGACAGCCAGGAGTTGAATGTGAAAAATGTGATTTTATCCTGAATTCGTTCCGACTCGGAGACCCAAGCTGGACCCAACAAAGAGGGATTTTCAAGACCCTAAAATGCCCCAAGTGTAACTGGCACTATAAATACCAAGAAACACTGGAAGTTCACATGAAAGAAAAACACCCTGATGCTGAAAACTCATGTATCTACTGTATCACAGGACAGCAGCATCCCCGTCTTGCCCGGGGAGAAACCTATACCTGCGGATACAAACCCTACAGATGTGAAGTTTGCAACTACTCAACCACAACCAAGGGTAACCTCTCAATCCACATGCAGTCAGACAAGCACATCAACAACATGCAGGAGTTACAAAACGGGGGCGTAATCACAGCCCCCGACGGGACGAAGATCACCCAAGCAGCACTTGCACAGATGCCCATGGGACAACGACTCAACGCCAACCATACGTTTCAACCTCAAAACTGGCGCTGCGATCTTTGCAATTATGAAACCAACATTCCTAGAAACCTCCGAATTCATCTGACCAGTGACAAGCATGTTCAGAACATGGCCTGCATGTCGGAGAATATGAAACAAATTCAAAACTTCCAGTTTCTCCAAACCCTGGCCGGAGGTAAACCTGAGTTTCCTCCGCACCTTCCTCCCAACCCGCTCTCCGACATGATGATGGAGATGTCTCAGAACCCGGCCCTGCTCTTCCAGTTCCTCAAGAACAGTCAACCCCTGCCCTTGATGGAGGGTGTTGAACCCCACGAGCCTCCTCCTGAACCCGTGGATCCGAACCCCAGTTTTCTCTTTAACTGCTGCATCTGCCGCCAGTTCTCCACCAACTCGATAGAATCTCTCTCCTGTCACGTGAACCTGGATAGATACTCGGAGCCGGATACAGAAATTTCAATCCTCCTAGGCGGAGTTCATCTTTGCAAGCTCTGCTCGTATAAAACTAATCTGAAAGCAAATTTTCAACTTCATCTCAAAACTGACAAACATCTTGCCCGCCTGTCCTTATTAAATCATATTCGAGAGGGCGGTTCAGGGAACGAGTGGAAACTAAAATATCTACTGGGAACTAACCCTGTCCAGCTGAGATGTAACTGTTGTGATTTCTACACCAACTCCTTGCATAAACTACAGGTTCACATCCAGACTCAAGCTCACGAGGTTAGTTGGAGAATATTTCAAGAATATAGAAATAAATATTTATTCAAACTTAAGAGTCTCTAGTTTTGAAGTTATGGTATTGGGTTCAGAGGAATACTTAATTGAGCTAGCTAGGCTGCTTTCATGTTTTCTCATGTATATACAGTATGTTCCAAAAATATGATATTTTAGACAAATTTGCATTAAAGAGACTGTAATTGCGTAATTTGACATGGCCCTCCATGCAAAGATGGCAATGTCCGATTTACAACGGTTCCCTTAAAAGCTTTGTCTTATTAAGTTTGAATTAGATATCCATGTTTTTGTTTCTTTAAACTGATTATTTTCATTTCTGGATTTTCTGCAAAAGTGGCCTGCGCTTTTTTGTTAACAAGAATCAATGAAGAAATAATATGAATTAAACACTTTTTGAGCTAAAAAAACTATGATATCTTCAACATTTTTTATCTAATTAAGGTTTCAAGGTATCGTTGTGAATCAGGCATTGTCATCTTTACTTGAAATCACGCTTACAGCCCATTTTTTGTTTAGGTTTCTTTGATCCTGTTCCATCATCTGGTATCATCTGAACAGCAGTTAGAACAGGACGCAACATTCTCCTGTTCTCTCTGTACTTTCTCAACTCGGAGTAAATCGTTGCTCCTCCAGCATTCTCGAACCTTGTCGCATCTCAGGTAGATTTCTGCTATTTATGCACAATCTTTGCGCAAAATATTTTTTTGCACAAGAAGAAATCTTCTTAAGATTAAATTTTATCAAAATTTTTTTACAATAAATCGTAAATGGAATTTGATGATCTATTTAAAAGAGGAAAATTGAAATATTTACGCTAAGCGTCAATTAGTTCTAAGTTAAAATGTTATTTGGAAGATTAGAGTTATCGATGCTTAGGTTTATTCTGCACATTTTTTGTGCCAAAAAATTATGTAAACAACCTTTTTTATAAAAGAAGATTGCTCAAGAAGAAATCTACTTTAATTTATCTCATAAAAAAAATTAATTCTATGTTACTTTTGTAGAAACACTCCGTGATTGGTATTTAATGATATATTTAAAATAGAAAAAATGAAATATTTACGCTTAGTTGTAAGTTAAAATGTCATTTAAAAGTTAGCCTCGGTATTCATCGCTAAATGCTTTGTAATGGAATAATCTGAGGGGAATGAAATTCCATTAGTTCAGTAATTTTTCTCAATGACATTTAATACATTTTTCAATTTAATTTTTTCCTCCCAACTCAAGCATGAAAACAGTTTATAGGAAAATTCATTATTCTAAAAATTGTAAAAAATGATGAAAGACCACATCTTTATCTATCTATCATCCATTATTCCCTCCCCTACAATGTGTCGTTAAATATCTATTTATCTCTCTATCTATCTATCTACACTGCAACCGTCTGAAACTTTTGTAAAATATTTAAATAAGAAAAATGAAGATTGGTTGTGTTTGTATAGAATACAAAGACAACTCCATCTACCTACATCCTTCCACACTACACAAACAATACCTTATTCTAAGCTAAGGAGGGAAACTAGAGAGAATTTTTATATAAAAATATTTTGATCGCTTCTGCTTTAGTCCTCAAGTTTTAAATTTGGAAAGGAATTACAAAACTCAAATTTTCTAATCCCTATTCTTTGCAACCTGATGCTGTAAACCTTATATAGTTTATACTTAAAATATTTGTTCTATAACAGAATTCATTTGTTAAAATATCTAAAGGGGAAGGGTTACAAAGATATAGGGATTAGAGTTTGTGGCAAAGACTCAATTCCTATCTTCTTATTTTCAAAATCATTTAGATGTTAGCTTTTTTTGTGGACATAAATTTACTAAAGCATGCGGGGTGGGGAAGTCTTAGAAACCATTATTTTGGGTAGTGGAACTGTAAATTTAGAAATTACAAACTTGAAAAATTCCATTATACGAAAAGAACTATAGTGAAATTATTCCTATCTAACTTTGTTTTTTGGCATTGATTTGAATTGTATTATATAAAAAAAACACTAAGAAGGGACTGTTTTCAGTTCCGTGGTTCGAATCCGATGCTCATATTTCATAAGACATATTTAAATTTTGATGCAATTTAAAAATTGGCAATGATGTAATATTTTGAAATCGTTAATTACTGAATAAGTTTTGATTTAAACTAACCCGACATTATTCTCTAGAGCGGAGCAGATTGGGGAACTTCGGCGGTTATCTGGAGGTGAGGATGGCGGAGAACAACCGGATGTGGCGGATATATTTACTGTAACACCGGCAGATAACAAAGATTCAGGTAGCTGCTGCAACAAATGTAAAACTTTTCAGGCAAATTTAAATCTACTATGTCTTATCTAATAAATTTCATCGGTAATTGCAGGCCCCTGACTGAACCCCCGATATTTAGTTTGGTAATTGCAGGCCCCTGACTGAACCCCCGATATTTAGTTTGGTAATTGCAGGCCCCTGACTGAACCCCCGATATTTAGTTTGGTAATTGCAGGCCCCTGACTGAACCCCCGATATTTAGTTTGGTAATTGCAAGGCCCCTGACTGAACCCCCCATATTTAGTTTGGTAATTGCGGGCCCCTGACTGAACCCCCAATATTTAGTTTGGTAATTGCAGGCCCCTGACTGAACCCCCGATATTTAGTTTTGTAATTGCAGGTCCCTGACTGAACCCCCGATATTTAGTTTAGTAATTGCAGGGCCCCTGACTGAACCCCCGATATTTAGTTTGGTAATAAACCAATTTCGGCAGAAGATGAAAATGTTTGATGTCTGCCAACCCAACCCCTGCCAAACCAAACATCCATCTTTATATTGGAAATCAGAATATTTTCAAACCAAATAATTCGAGTAGTTAATATCAAAACACATCTTAGAAAAAGGATTTGAAACAAAATGAAAATAAAACAAAACTACATCTTACAACTACAAATGTGCTTGAAAGTAAAAACTAAATATTTTTACAATTTTTAAAATGAAAAATATCCTTGAAATATGTTTATTTTGGATCAAAGCGTTTTTGAATTTTTATTGAGTCTAACCTAATCGGTTTGCAAGAATAAATGGGTTGAACATTAGAGTTTGTGTCAAAAACCCAGTTTCTGTAGCTTTATTTTATTGAAGCTTAACAAATCAAAAAAAGTTACCAGATCCATATTCATCAGTTTTCAATGATACGCTCAATATTCATAATTACATATATGTCAATAATTTTTCAATGTTTCATAAAAGTATAAATATTCAATATATTTAAGTGTTTACCAATAAAATACTTAAGTGCTTCTTTGCAATCTAGCAAAGTCTAAAATGAATTCACTATAACATATTAATTTTCCTCCAAATAAACTTGGTGCATTGAAATTTTAATATTCGTCTTGGGTTTACAGCCAGAACTTTGTTTATAGTTGTGAATATTAATTATTTTCTTATTTTTCATAATTTACTCAACAACTACTTTCTTATATTCAATAATAATTGTTAGGTTATTGAATATTTCTTGTCATTCAAAATCTTTATCAAACTTTACATTTATCAAAACGTTGCGAGTATTTTTTTGCTCAATCGAAGATATGTAAAAAAATGTTGTTATTAATAGAAACTGAATACTCGGCCCAATTTCTAATCGTCTAATCTTTGCAACCTAATGGACGATGGTATATGCCTTTTGATATTTTAATCTCTGACAAATATATTTTTTTATATCAAAGTACTTAAACATGGCAAGGATATAAAGATCAGTACAGAGTTTGAGGCCTTATCCGTTTGTTTGTTTCTGTGATTGAAATATTATTTTTAATCAACTATTTAAAAAGACTCATTAGAGTATTTGTTTTAGAACTCAGAGACAGGACGGAGTCAAAGGACGGAGAATTCAAGGACAGAATAACAGACGTTGAAGTCCTTTGTCCTATTTGTCAGGTAGAATTCGATAATTATTCTGCAACGTTTCTGTCCTTAAAGTGGCAATAATAATTTAGTCAAGCGGGTGGGAAATTTGTGTTCACTTTATTATTGACAAGGCTTTATGCAAATAGAAGGCAAAAAGTAATAAATTGAATATAGATTCAAATCATAAATTACTTCAACAATTTTAGTATAACATTATTGTTTTTAAAGATATTTAAAGAATTGTTTATGAATTTGGAAAAGGGTAAGGAGGCAACATACTAAAAACTAACACCAATACCAATATATAATGTTCTTTCAAAATTCATGAACAGTTCGTTTTTGATAACATTGTAATTACTTGCAAGATCACTTATTTTAGGAAAAAGTTGGTGATTTCAATGATCTGGTGAGTCATGCAATGCAGGCGCACCAGCTGGGTAGATCAGAGCTTCATAGACTGCTTATCCTGGCTGAGGGTGGAAGTATACTCAACAAGTTCAGATTGGATCCAAGTATGAGAACTCCACCAAAGGACCCCGAAAGCTCCAGGATGGAGCAGGATCAGGATACAGAACCTATAGAGAACCTTGGATCCCCCATCGGAGCTATCTCCGAGAAGCATGTTTACAAATATAGGTGTAACCAGTGCAGTCTAGCCTTCAAAACTCAGGAGAAGCTTGAGTTTCACTCCAGATACCATCAGATCCGTGATACAACTAAATGTAAACTTTGCGATAGAAGTTTCCGTAGTGTTGGCTCTCTTCTTAAACATGTTGAGTCCGGTCATCTAGATGGAAACCAGGAGGATATTGAACAATACTCTCAGCAGATTAGAGCAACTCTGCTCCTCGTCCCTCAACAAGCACTGGAGATAACTCACGACAAAGAGGAGGATGAGGAGGATAAGATAAGCAGAGATATCTCCGATGTAAAAAAGAAAATAGAAAAAACTTCTTATTCCGTGGAAAAATTCATGGATCCTAGGAGACCATTCAAGTGTGATGTTTGTAAAGAATCTTTTACACAAAAGAACATACTTCTAGTACATTTCAACTCTGTATCTCACCTTCACAAAATGAAAAAGTTTCTAAAAGAAAATCAGGAGAATCCAAACAACCTTACCCCCCAGTCTGAAGGAGGATCTCCCAGCAGCCCCTTGGCTCCAGGAAGTACCCTAATGTCAGTCCTGGGTAGTCTCAATGCTAAAAAACAATTGGAACCAGATAACGAGCTTAAACCATACAAATGTAACATTTGTCAGGTATCCTATGCCCAAGGTTCAACTCTTGATATCCATATCAGATCAGTTCTACATCATACTAGAGCTAACAAGCTCCAAGAGTTGGTTATGACTGGTCATGTGGATTTGAGCAAGCCTCTGATAGAAAACCCTGATAATGCAGACGAGGCCAATAACTCTGAAATAGAACTGTTTAGTCCAAAATCATTGTCCTCTAATAATTCCATTCAAAGAACTCCAAATCCTGATCGAGATATTTCTTCATACGGACCTTTAAGCTCTACACCAAAATCTCTCTCACAAATGTTTGAAAAGGTGAGCAATGAGTCAACCAAGGAAGATAGCATAAATGGACAAGATTCATCCATTAATCACTTTGAAAACTCTGAGTCACCAAGCTCTAATTCAGATACTCAGTCATTCAATTCTCTACCTGATGATAAGAAGTCCTCCATTATGTTAAAAAGTTTACTTCAGAACTATGGATTCGAACTTGTGATGCAGTTTAACGAAAGTCACCAAAAGATTAAACTTGAGAAAGAAAGATTAAGGATAGAACAAGAGAAAGAAGAATTTAAAAGAAAGGAGTCCCCTGAGGAAAACAAGGTTGATGAACGTTTTCAACAACCAAAGGAATCTGAGTGTCCTATGTGCTCTGAGAAGTTTTCAAGCATCAAGGACCTGAAAGCCCACTCAGAGGAAAAGCATGATGTTGTCATAGCACAGGAGTTTGAGGAGGAAATTAAATCCAACTCTGAAAACCAGGAAAAAGATGAAAGTTCCAAGATCTCTCCAGATGAAGTAATACTGGTTGAAAAAGATGCTTTAAATGATGTTTCTAGCATCACAGATGAACATGAAAAGTCCAATAATAAACCAGATGTGGATGAAAAAGACAATGATGAGCTTAACCCTTTCCAACAAGCTTTCAAAGCATTTAAAGAGCATGAAGCCAAGCTTCTAAACAATCCTAACCTCCAGAACATGAACCTTCACCCTCCTCTCATACCTGGAATACTACCCAAGCTGCCTGGAAATCAGCTAAATAATCAGAACCATACCTCTCCGTTTGAAAACCAAATATTCTCCAAGCTAGGAATAAACCCTGATGTTGTAAGACAGGCTGGACTTGATCCAAAACTTCTCATACATTTAGCTCTTATTGATCCAAAATCTGCAATGGATCCCAGGATGTTATCTATGTTTGATACCCAGGCAAAAGAAACTGAATTTCCCAACAAGAAAATGATGCAGTTGGCTCTAGAGAGTAAGCTTGGTATGATGCCTAATCTACCCCAGGGTTTCCCAGGGGCTGCAGAGCTCCTTCGAATGAACCAACAACATTATGATGCAGTATCTAGGCGGGCTAGAACTAGAATTACAGATGATCAGCTCAAGGTATTGCGTGCAAACTTTGACATAAACAATTCTCCTTCTGAAGAACAAATAAACAACCTGTCTTTGAAAACTTACCTGCCGCCAAAAGTAATCAAACATTGGTTCAGAAATACTCTATTCAAGGAACGTCAGAGAAATAAGGATTCTCCATATAACTTTAATAATCCTCCATCAACAATGCTAAACTTGGAGGAATATGAGAAAACCGGAGAGTCAAAAGTTATTTCTTTAAATTCTGAGGAGCAGAGACAATATGCTGACGAAAATACAAAATACAGAGAAAATGAGGAAAAGAACAACTCACAGGAGACAGAAAGTGAAAAGTCTGATCAAGAGGATTCTGGACATTTTGAAATCAAGAAGGAGAATGAATTTATGAGAGATGAAGAAATGAATAAGATAGATGAGTTTAGAAAGCTACAAATGTCCCTGGCACTCAGGGTCTCAGTTTCACCAGATAATGGAAACCCAAATGGAAAATCCTTTGATGGAATATTCTCTCCTCAGATGAATACTGGAGATAGGCATCCTTTACTTCAGAGTCCATTACCGCCAGGATTTCCAAACCCGCTTGGATTCCTCCCTGTTCCTGGTCATCTTGGACCAAACTTCTTCAATGGGTTTGGAGGATTTCGCAACCCTTCTCCCCTTAGTGATCCTCATGGATACAATCATTCTGCTGCAGCAAAGCGAGCTAACAGAACTAGATTCACTGACTACCAAATCAAAGTACTTCAAGAGTTCTTTGAAAACAATGCCTATCCAAAGGATGATGATCTTGAGTACCTCTCCAAGCTGTTAGGCCTCAGTCCAAGGGTTATAGTTGTTTGGTTCCAAAATGCTCGACAAAAAGCACGGAAGATTTATGAAAACCAACCTGCTGTAGAGTCAGAGGAAGATGGAGCTGGTAGGTTTACTAGGACTCCAGGGCTCAACTACCAGTGTAAGAAATGTCTCTTGGTATTTCAACGCTACTATGAGCTAATACGACATCAGAAGCAGCACTGCTTTAAAGAGGAAGATGCCAAAAGATCAGCACTGGCTCAGAGAGCTGCTGCCACAGCAGCTGCTCAGTTTGTTGGTCAAGCAAATGTTAGCCTAGGCTCTATGTCAGTTCGAAGTGATTCTGAAAATGAATCAATACTCCGAGAGCAGAATGTTGTCTCTCCTATATCCTCTATTGAAGGTCAATCTGGTTATGAAAACAGTCCCAGAAACTCAGCGGCAATGTCCCCAATCCAGAAGTTAATTGAAGACAGTAAAAATATTGGAACAATATTTGAAAAGAGAAACCAGGAGGACAGAGTCATGAAATATCTAAACGAGGCACAAATCAATTTGATGACAAGGTATCCAGCAAACTCCCATCTGGCATTTTTGCAAAAGCAAGGCTTATCAGATATTGAAGACCAATCCAATGACAGTTTTGTGAATATGGGAATGAAAAGGAAGCTATCAGAGGAAAATGACGAAATAGAAAGAGATGAAAATGGGCAACCAAAAGATAAAAGACTGAGAACCACAATATTGCCTGAGCAGCTTGACTACTTGTATCAGAAATATCAGATTGAGAGCAATCCCAGCAGAAAAATGCTAGAGCAGATTGCAGCAGAAGTCGGACTAAGAAAACGTGTGGTCCAGGTGTGGTTTCAGAACACCAGAGCTCGGGAAAGAAAGGGCCAATTTCGGGCTCATCAGCAAGTTATTAACAAAAGATGTCCTTTCTGTCCTGCTCTCTTTAAGGTTAGATCTGCACTAGAATCCCATCTTGTCACAAAGCACTCTAGCCAGTATACTAGAGGGGAGATCAACATAGATGCTTTACCAGATGCAGGAGTAGAGGAACCACAGCTGAACATGCTGGGACGATCTACCTTGTTCCCGAGTGTTCCATGCCCCTCTAGTCCTCCACAGTTACCTCCTCTTATTCCTAACCAGGACAAATCATCTGAATTTGAGGCATCCATGCGTAAATATTATGAAGAGACAATGAAACAGTTCATTTCCGATGTAAAGTTGAGTCAGCAGAATTCATCTGTACAGGAATCAAGAATTTATGAGAAAAACAGTGAGGCATTGGATCTCTCCTCCCCGCCACTGCGGCAAGAGGATACAGGGGAAGAAAACAAAAACCTGGCTAGTGACAGGGACAGCCAATCATCTCCAGTCAGTGGAATTGACAGTCAAATCTATGAATATGAAGATGAGAATGGAATGACATTGTCATCAAATTATTCCTTTGATTCACAAAACTACGACTCAAGAAAGAAGTTCCGAACTCAGATCTCCCACACCCAAGTTAAGATGATGAAGTGTGTGTTTGAGGAGTGTAAGATGCCAACTATGACCGAGTGTCATCTTTTGGCGGATTTTATCGGTCTGCAAAAGCGTGTTGTCCAGGTCTGGTTCCAGAATGCCCGGGCAAAGGAGAAGAAAATCAAGCTTCACCTAAACCTTGGAGCAGGGAGTGAAGAGTCGGAATCTACTGAAGTTAAAGATTCTGTATGCAAATTCTGTAAATGCCAATATGAAAACAAATACAAGGTGCAAGAACATTTATTTGACAGGAATCACCTCGAGAATGTTCGGAAGGCACTAGAGGAGGGAAAGTATGAGCCTGAGAATCCAGGGGGGTCTACAAACCTCTCGGAGAAATTGAGTAAACCCAACCCAGATTTGGGGTCTAATAAACCCTTCAACTATGAAGAAACTCAGCCACACCGTCCTGAGGAAAATATTGTAAATTCGGCAAATCAGGAAAAACAAAGTAATCATTTTGTCAATGATCAGAGTGTTTATAACAACCCTCAACAACAACAACCACAACAACATTATAGAACAGACCAACAAAACTTTAATTTCCCCCAGCAGCCGAAGTATTACCCTGAGCATCATAATTTCCGGCCGACTCCGCCATATCCCCAGCATCAAGAATACAACCAGGGATATTGCCAGAACCAGATTGGATATCCAGGTTCAGGATATCCTCCCTACACTCCGGGATATGGAGCTGGATACAACCCAGGATATAACGGATATCCTTACCAACCTGGAGTACAGAACTAACCCTTTCCAGGTAACATTATGTACTTAAATTAAGAAAAAAAATTATATTGTAGTTTTGTTGAAATATATTTAATATCTCTTTTTTTCAGGTTAACCCCAGTATTGAACTCCCAAATGTGCAATATGTATGAATATCCTCCTAGAAATGGGCTGGATTTGAAAACAATGTTCCTATTCTCTTTTATCATGTGTCTTCTTCAAAACTACGAACCCGGTGCAAAACTAAACCTAATGTTCCTAAACTGTTTGCAAGCAACCTAGAAGCAACCTATATTTGTATAGAGATAATCCCATTTTTAAAATTCCATTATTTTCATATTTTTATCAAGCAGTCATGACATTTTTCTGTTCCTTTAAACTTCAAATTTTCATTTTTGAAAATTCATCATTCCGGAAGCATTTATCATTAAAATTAATAATTTTCAACAACAAATTAGGAAAATTGAAATAGTATATTTTGTATTAATTTTTGACCCATGACTAAATATCCATTTCATTTTTCATATTTAAAGTTTTATTTGATAAACTAATTTTTGTAAATATCTTTAACAAGCCGAGTCAGCCTAATTCGTGCATTTTTTACTTTCGCCTTTACTTAATATTTGGTGGTTTTACATCATCCATATATTCTTTCATTCATGTTCACTCCAGGGTGTCCAGCTAAAACTGTCTTCTTCGTGTAGAACCAGGAAGGTAGTTTAATTCTAGACATCCTGTAGTTGTGTGTATTAATGTTCCATGAACTTAAAGTTCCTAAGAGCACAAGGTATCAGTTCCTAATCTATAATGAGGGGTGTTCCAGAAATATATCTGGAACAACCCTTCTTGTTGTTTTTAACTATTGTAACCGTACCAGGCTGCATCTACTCATGTTCCTAGATAATGTGATTTTTTAACTAATTAACGAGTAAAGTATACAGTAGTTTTAGAATACGCACAATATTTGGTATGCACAGTTTTATTTTAGTTGTATCTCTGCCATGTTTATTATTGTACATCTACATCCTTATTCCAGTTAATTCTAGTTCTAGTATAGTTCCTTAGTATAACAGTATAGTGTAGTTCACTTTGTGATCACTAGATGTAGTTTTAAGTTATATTCGTGGCCAAACACTGGCGTGTAAAGAAATGTAGTTTTCCACTTTTGATTGTGCCCCAAAAACAGTATATCAAGGGGCTCCAAGCCCCCCCCCTCCCCTCCTTGCTCCCCCTCGGATTCAATATAATTGGATTCTACATCTTAGATTCTAATATTTTAAACCTAGTTAAAAACTAGCAACATTATATTATCCATGTGTAAATAAGAAAAATAAACCTTTTTAACTAGTTTAATTTCATTTTTATAAGTTATGTCGTACATATATATATATATATATATATATATATAGATTTAATTAAGATTTAATTAAGAAAGCAATTGCAATCTATGACATTTTTAATTTATGGGTTTAGCAAAGAAATTCAAGGTGGCATTTAAGACACTGCAAACCAAGATGTCCGTCTTCTCGCGCGAAAATCCGGCATTATTTTGCTATTTATTCCTTTTAAACTTGAACTAGAAACAAGACCGAGTTTTAGAATGTGTATGTCGCGCTACAAAAAGTATATCAATGAAGAGAATTACAAATATAGTTCAATAATTAAACTACAACTAAGATATGCATGGTATGTATTAAGTAGTAAAGTATATCAGTGAAGAGAATTACAAATATAGTTCAATAATCAAACTACAACTAAGATATGCATGGTATGTATTTCTAGAAGTACTGCTGGATTAAGGTTAGTACTCCAACTGTCTCCAAGATGATTATTAAATAATAAATAGTTTAGTGTCCTCTCTTTACTCTTGAGACATTAATAAAATGCAAGTGTTATCAATTCTAAAGAATTAACCAAATTTACGGGGTCTGTATATGTATTTTTATGTGGCCCTCTATTTCACAAAAGGTATGTCCTATTCACAATGGTCACTTTTATATAGAGACCACAATTTAAAATAGATTTAAATTATTAATATATTTTCAGATAGAAAAGCAAGTTTATCTCCGTCATCTTTAAATAATCAGACAAAGTTATAGTGCCGTTGTGAATCTGACATGTCATTCTTTAAATTGGGGGTTAATTGATTTTATACTTGCTATGTGAGTGAAAGAAAGCACAACCATTTTCTGAATCATATTCTAAATAAATCCATAACTATTTCTCTTGATTGAAAAGCCAAGCCTACATGTTATCAAATCTGTAATTTACACGATATGCTTATCATATTTTATCTTTATCTTCGTAAACTATATGTTTTGATATTTTGTCGCGCTGACCGGCCTCACCGGTTTGAGCAAATGTTGATTACTTTAAATAGAGATCAGTTCGATGTAAACCTTGTCATATAAAGAACAGGAAGAGAGTATTGAGGGTTGTTTCAAATCTTAAATGAGAGTAATTAATAGGATCGTAATGTTTCAGTGAGTTTGACTTAAAAGTTCTTAAAGTTAAGCTGAAAGAAGAGAAAGAAGAAAAATGCTGAATAGTGGAGAGAAGATTGGAAGGGTGGATGGAAGAAGGTTGGAGAGGAGATTGGAAGAGTGGATGAAAGGGTAAAGAGGGTAGAAGCGGGGAAGGGAAAGGGGAGGAGAAGGAAAGATAAAAAGGGTAGAGGCGGGGAAGGGAAAGGGGAGGAGAAAGAAGAGTAAAGAGGGTAGAGGCGGGGAAGGGAAAGGGGAGGAGAAAGAAGAGTAAAGAGGGTAGAGGCGGGGAAGGGAAAGGGGAGG